CACTTACCACTTTGTCTCATCTCTTCTCTCTCTCTCTAAGTGCGCTAACTTGACCGTCGGAAGGGTTTTATGGCAGCACATTGTCAGGTAGCTCACCATCTTTGTGTTCTCAGGTTAGTCAGAGGGAAGCTCAGCTTGGACACAAGGAGTGTGGATAGCGTCGGATATTTGGCTCCCGTACAATTGGCGCCGTCTATGGGAATACAGACAATACCTTGTCCTCCAAGATTGTCAGATCATCTTTCGTGGCGAACAACTACGAAACTCCGCTGTCCGTCGTCGACGGCATCACCCAGAGTTAGTCCGGAGGAGAGACGGACCTCCTGTCATTTGGAACATGGCGGGCCTAAAGACTTCATCTAGAGGGCTCTACAGATATGCGCGAGACAAGCGCACCAGGAACACCGATCACTCTCAGAGTCTAGACGGACATCGGCGGTGGTGGAGAAGTCATGCACATGAGATAGCATCTACCATCCCTCACGTCCGTCGACGACGTCGAGATACTTTTACTCCTCCTGTTCGGAGGACTTAAGGGACGTCTTAAAAGAACGAGTGCGCCGACGGGAGGCACAAAGGGTACCGGCACTGAAGTTGCTGTCCCGCGGAGGTCACGCTAATGAAGAAGTCATAATGTCGCCACCAGGCCCAGTCTTATATGTCCCTTTGGACAGAGACTTGGTGAGGCTGAGCACCACCCCTTTCTCTCTCGAGATAGAAAACATGTCGCTCCCTACGGGCTTTCACCAGCCCAAGTTTACATTCTATGATTAAAAACCGATCCATAGATGCATATGAGCCACTTCCGGCAGGTCATGGCTGGCTACGGGTGGAAAGACGCCCTTATGTACCTTATTTTCCCATCAAGTTCAGGTGAGTTAGGCCTGAAATGGTTCGAGAGGCTGCTGGAAGAAAGTATCGAAAGGTAGCAGCAACTGACGGAGGCGTTCGTGACCCGATTCAAAACAAACACTAAAATGCCCAAAGAAGTTGACCAACTTTTGAGCGTCAAGATGGATTGGGCAACTCACTCAAGATGTACAATGCCAAGTATTGAGAAACTTTCAACGAAATCCTTGATTTCTCGACCAACTTGGCGATAGCCCAATACAAGCGCGGTCTCCCAATCAGACATAGACTTTGAGACTCGCTCATCAATGAGCACATCCGAGTTGAGAATGATGCTGCTGTGGCTACCACGAAGGTGAATCCGGTGGCAGCAGACAAACGAGTGGCCCAAAAAGTCGACGCGGTCGAACATGAGGCAAGCCATCCAAGCAACTACAATAGAGATTCAGATTGTGGTGCAAACCGCAACAACCGGGATAAGGATTGTCGCAACAACCGAGCTGACTACCCCCGTGATGCCGCAGAAGACACAAGGAGAAAGTTGAACGCCCGAAGAGGTATCATCACGGTTTTCAAGATCCCAATTTACCGTATCCTTAGCGAAATTCGCGACGAGGCATATGTCAGGTTTCCAGCTAAGTTAGGTGATACACAGAGAGGCTTCAATCCGAGATACCGTTGCACTTACCATGATGAGCACGACCACCGTACAGAAGATTGCATCCCTCTGAAGCAGCATCTAGAGGAGTTAGTGGCTGCTGGCCACCTAGATCGCTACATTTATGATGGCACCATGGCCGTGCCTCATGCTCAAGTTGAGCCAAACTGTTTGGCTACCCTAGAAGTGCCTTCCTAAGGCATAGTCAATGTGATCCATGGTATCGTCGAGCCAGTGCGAGTCTGTGAGCTGTAGGGAATGATAAAGAAGGCAGAACACATGCAAGAAGTTTTGTTAGTCCAACCAGTGGTCAAAAAGAGTAGAACCAAGATAAAAGATGTTCTCAGCTTTTCAAGCCGGGATCTTGAACATATTCAAACGCCGCACAATAATGCACTAGTGGTCACGATTTGTGTCGGGACTTTGACGTTAGGCTCATTCTCATCGATCAGGGCAGCTCGATTGAAATAATGTATTACGACGCCTTCAAGAAGCTCAAACTTGAAGAGAAGGATTTAGCCCCAGCAACATCACCGCTGGTCGGCTTCAACTCGCAACCCGAATGGCTGGTCGGGAAGATAATCCTACCGGTCAAGGCAAGGTCCATTGTAAAGCAAGTCGAGTTCTGCGTATTGAAAGTGCCCTCCACCTACAACCTCATCCTGGGTAGGGGATGGCTTTATGTCATACAAGCAGTGATGTCAACTTACCACCAAGTCATGAAGTTCCATCTACTACCGGGGTGATAGAATAAGTTTGGGGTGATCAAGTAATGGCCAAGTAGTGCTTCGTGGCCGTGAACGGAAGTCAAGCTACCAAAGGCTTTGTACAAATGATTGAAGAACCGAAAAATCTCAATGTCCTGGAAGACGTGGGCACCAAAGCCGAGGAAAAAGCTGTCGAAGACTTGGTGCAAGTAAGGATTAACGAGAATGACCCTAAGAAGTTTTTTCTGTTGGAATCCACCCTCACCGCTCAAAAACAATTAGAGATGGTGAATTTTTTGGTGGCGAACATCGAAGTTTTTTCCTGGATGTCTTATGACATGCTTGGCGTCGATCCAAACTTCATTTTCCACCTACTTAATGTTTTCCCTGATGCTCGGCCGGTCGTTCAAAGAACACGACAGTCGGCACTCCATCACGCCGAGGTGGTAACGGAAGAGGTGAAGAACTTGCTTGAGGCAAGGGCTATCCAGGAAGTACATTATCCACGGTGGGTTTCTAACACGGTCGTAGTGTTGAAAAAGAATGAGAAATGGTGAGTTTGTGTCGACTACAACACAGTCAACCGTGCTTGCCCTAAAGACAGTTTCCCTCTGCCCAGAATCGACCAACTGGTGGACCTAACAGCCAGTCACAACCGACTCAGTTTTTTGGACGCCTACCGAGGCTACCACCAAATTGTCATGCATGAGCCCGACCAAGAGATCACTTCTTTCACAACCCCGAGAGGATTGTTTTGTTACAGAGTCATGCCCTTCAGATTAAAGAACGCTGGAGCAGCCTTTCAAAAGATGGTTACAAAGATGTTCGCCCGACTGCTTGGCCAAACAATGGAAGCCTACATCAATGACATGATCGTGAAAAGTAAATGTGAGACCGACCACTTAGCCGACTTGGCAAAGATGTTCGCCATTCTCAAACAACACAAGTTGCGTCTGAACGCATCAAAGTGTGCCTTCGGCTTGGGGTCAGGGAAGTTTTTGGACTTTCTGGTCACTAACTGTGGGATTGAAGCGGATCCCTCTCAAATCAAAACCATCCAGGAATTGGAGCAGCCCAACTCGACAAAGGACTTGCAATATCTTGCTAGAATGACAGCCGCATATAATCGATTTATAAGTCGATCGTCGGATCGTTGCCGCCCTTTCTTCCAAGCCTTGAAATTGAAGTTTTCATGGGAAATAGAATGTGACAAGGCATTAGCTCAACTGAAGACATACCATCTAGAGGACTTAAACGACAAAGCTATACCCTGGCCACGGAACGCAGCGAATCTAAAGTTGTATTATTTTTAGTTTCAATCGTTGATATGATTTTTTTCAAGGGATAAGCATTTCCCTCTGTTTGCCAATGTAATTCTTTCAGTCACCATGTGAATTTATGAAAGCTATATGTAATAGAAATGAATTACTGTACATAGAAAATTTATCGTGGTTAATGGATTGCAATGAACAAGTGGCAACTGTCACCTAGCCATGGTGATTTTACCCGGTCAAAAGAGTTAATGAATTTTTCAACTCAAAACATTCATCGAGGTGATTTTACCCAGTCCAACAAGTTGATGAAGTGTTCAATTTAAAGCTTTTAACCGAGGTGATTTTACCCGATCAAAAGAGTTGATGAATTTTTCAACTTAAAACGTTCACCAAGATGATTTTACCTGGTCCAACGAGTTGATGAAGTGTTCAATTCAAAGCTTTTAACCGAGGTGATTTTACCCAGTTAAAAGAGTTGATCTTTCACCGAGATGATTTTTCCCGATTGAATGAGTTGATGAATTATTCAACTCAAAGCTTTTAACCGAGGTGATATTAGCTAGTTAAAAGAGTTGATAAATTGTTCAACACAAAGCATTTAACTGAGGTAATTGCGCACAGTCAAAAGAGTTGATCAATTCCAACTCAAAGCTTTTAACCGAGGTGATCTTACCTGGTCAAAAGATTTGATGAATTATTCAACTCAAGACTTTTAACCATGGTAATCTGGCTCGGTCAAAAAAGTTGACGAGTTGTTCAACTTTAAGCTTCTGGCTTGGATGTTTTGTGCCCGGCTACTAGACTTGATGATTCATTCAACCCCAAGAACTTAGCCGGGGTGTTTTGCCAGACTACAGGAGTTGATGGCTTGTTCAACTCCAAGTTTTTAACCGAGATGCTTTGTTCGGCTATGAAATTTGATGACTTGTTCAACTCCAAGTTTAGAAGAGGAGTTTTGCATAGCTATAAGAGTTGATGTTTTGTTCAATACCAAATTTTTAGCCAAGATATTTCGCTCGGCTACAAGAATACACGTTTTAGCCGAGATGTTTTGCCCGATTACAGGAACGGACACCCTGTTTGAGCATATAGCACGGTTGTAATGAAGAAACAAAATGCAAGTGCAAGTAACAACGATTGTAAAATTTTCATTGATTATAAGCGTAAGTACAAAAGTTGGAGGCTGGTAGCCCGGTTACAAAAGACTTCCAAAGAAAACAAGAAAGAGCATAAATCTAAACTAGGGGAGAGGGAAAAGATCACCACGGTGGTTGCATCGCCACGCTCCACTTGGCCAGTTTGGTTCTGGCCGCCTTTTTCTACGACCTCCTCCTCGGCCTCCTCTTGAAGCGAGATGAAGACGTCGTTGGCATAAGGCACCATGTAGCCCGGTAGGAAGGCGGGCGGTGGAGAGGTGAACACCTTGGTCTCGGGTCCTTGATCGAGCTTCTCGCAAGCTGCCTTCCAATTGGACTTAAAGAAGATGTCCTTGGTGGCTTCGACTTGTTTCGTTTAGCTCTCCTCGGCCTCTTTGAAACTGAGATTGTTGGCCTCGTCAACCACCTTGTCCTTCACCTTTTTCATTTCCTCGAGCTCGGCTTTCAAAGCTTCTCTCTCTTTCTCGGCCCTACCAAGTTGGCCAAGAAGCCTTGCATTGTCAGAATTGGCGATTTTGAGAGACACCTTAGCCCGGCCGAGCTCAGTCGAGATGTTCTTGCCAGCATTATTTAGCTCGGTTACTTTATGACGCAAGTTAACAATGCAGTCTATGACGAGATGCTGTTTTTGGATAGCCTACAAGAAATAAGAGGAAAGTTAGCCCAAGCAAATAAGTAAACCGAGCAGAGACTTAATGAAAGTCTGAATCATACCCTAGTCATAGACTTGACCGCAGATTTTACGAGCCGGGTGTCAGGAACATGATCGCTCCCAGTCACATCGCTCGGTAGTAGCAACGCTTTTGATAAGTCAAAAGCCAAAAAATGCCCCTTATCCCCCTTGACTGAAGCATTAGCTGGGATCTCTTTACCCTGATGCTTGAACTTCGGCTTCTACAGAGGTGTCGGCTCAACACCCTACACTGGCTATTCGGTGCTTAGCTCAACGACGAACTCGGCAGAGGGATCGGTTGATTGGGCTCGCTTAGTTGCCTGGCGTTGTTTAGCTTGCGGAGTAGCTATGGCTGAAAAGGCAATCACTGTCCACAAACTCTGACCGGCAGTAAGTGCAGGTGGAGGGTTGCATAGCAGCTTAGTGGAAGTGGCGGTGATGAGGTTTTTAATCCGTCTCTTTTTTGTCATTTCTTTCTCCTCGATCAACCAGATTAGGGGCACGTCGGGCAAAGTTGGATCAAGTGGAGGTGAAGGCACCCGAAGGAAATAAGTGACCTTGCTCTTCTGGGGTGTTGAATATCTGTAGGTCGGTACGTACAGAAGAAGCTCGTGGCAATCTCGTTGCTAATATCTTAGTGCGGTTCTAATCGCCTCTTCGTTTGGATAGAGATAATTGGCTTGTAACGCTTCGATAGCTGCAGAAAGAAAGTAATTAGCTCGGTATAAAGAACATTGACAGAGCTAACAAGTCAGAGAGCTCGGCTTACAAAAAGAACCAAAGTCCTTGTTGATGTACCAATCGGGCACATTGGCGGTCTCATAATTGCCAGACACCCAGAAGAAGTTGTCATCATGCATATCTTTGTCCGGTGTGCCGGTCACTAAACGTTCTCAGCCTGACCTTATTTTCAGGTAATAATTGTATCTGTTCACCGTGCGACTGAGCGTGTATTGGCGTAAGATCTCGGCCAGGCCCAGATTCAAACCAAGCCGGTGGTTAAGCTCGGCCACACCATTTAGAATCTTGTAAGTGTTGGTAGATACTTGGATTGGAGCTAGCCTGGTGCGTCTCATGAATTCGCAGATCAAGGGCTGCACCGGGAAGCGCAGTCCCTCCTCTACAATGCTTAGCACGGTAAAGGGGCAGGACTCCAACCTACCCCATGGGTTTATGTCCTCCTCGTCGAGTTCCAAATGTAGATCGGCCGGAACGCTGTACTCTTCTCGGAATGCGGCCAATGTCCTCGGTGTGTTAACAAGGAAGTAGTAGCGCCCCATGGGAGGCTGACTTGTTCAGCATGGTAGTGTTAAGTTGGCAAACTTTTGCATGGTGGCTGTTCGGTCTTTGAGAGCCCTTGTGTTGGTGTGCCTGGTCCCGTAGGACTCTGTAGTTAAAAACCAACTGTAAGTGATAGCTCATGCGCGTAAACGAGTTCAACTTTAGCTCGGACACTTTGGGTGCAATAGCGCCTCAGTATTGATGGATAAGCTTGACAACTCGATCACTCAAGCGGACCAAATATTAGTCCGATCGAGCGGCTCAGCGCGTTTATTAGCTCGATTTTTCACCTAAGTCTTCCAAACAGGGAACTTGCTCGGTTAACTTATGATTTTGGATCAAACAGAGGTTTGTAGCCCGGTCGATCCCAAATTCTCACATGTTCATCACAGAAGATGATGAACAGTGTCGAGGACGAGGGGCAAACACATTTTATGTCAACAAAATAGGGCAAAAATCCTAGCCTAACCTCAATTTCAGCATTGTGTGGCTACTATCGTTATGCCCTAGACTCGTCTATGGGAGTTAGAGTTGAAGAACACGAGAAAAGCATGAGGAACAAATAAGGAACAGATGAGGAGTTGAAGACTTACAGGTTGGAGCGTGACTCGTAGCTCCAATCGGAAAGATGGAGCCTCAACGACGGCGACGGAATCGAATCCACTCGAGAGAATGCTCTGATTTTGGTACAATGAACGAAAATCGAAGGTTGGATGCTCTGGGTTGCTGGGTCGCCTGAGGAGGAGATGAATAGTGGAAGACGAAACATGGAGAGGCGTGTCAATATGTTTGAGAGAGGAAGGGGCGCCAAAATTTGAATCATAAGAGACAATTGGGTTGGCTGTATGAGACCAATAGACGAGCAACACGTGTGTGATGGGATTGGAATCGGCATTGAAAAGACGGATTAAAAAAACCAATCGCCAGCTAGGAAAGTTGCGAAGACAAGCGCGACAATTAGCACGGTTGATTTAGGTGATCGATTTTGGAACCTTGATTACCGAGCCTTGAATGGATTAGCTGGTGACCGAAAAAGCAAGCGAGCTCAGCTTATGAATATAATCCCAGTAACGCTAGCGTGAACGAAATTAAATGGCAATTGAGAGGGGTATTTATGACCCAACAAATGGCCAAGCTAGTTTGGGCTGGAATTGGGGTCCTTGCTCGGTCAGACGGTGGGCATATATTCAACCGAGGACCTATTCCGGTCAAGTTGGGACAACCTTGGGCCATTAGCTCGGTGTTGTTTAATGGAATTTGTCTTCTGAGACCAGATTCGACCGAGCAGTTGCTCGGTCGTGACCATGGAGCTCGGTAGAGCCCGCATTCGGGTTTGACCAACAGTACCAGACTAATAGCGCGACCCCAATAGAAAGCGGAAGTCGCGGTAGTGAGTATAGCCTAATTGGAAGGTCGGTGCGGCGAGGCGGAACTGCGGGAAAAAGATTCCTCCATCCGTGCATGTTGGTACTATTTGGCGGTTTCATCGTTTGGCGTTAGCTATATTTGCGCTAACACATAGGAAATGTAAGAGGAGAGCATGTCCACGCGTCCAGCGAGGAATGGACATAGAAGCGTGCGCAGAAACTATATAAACGATGTAGTGCCTCAATACACAGGTCTGGAACCTCTGGTGATCAGAGCGCACCTACCACTTTGTCTCCTCTCTTTTCTCTCTCTCTCTCTCTCTCTAAGTGTGCTAACTTGACTGTTGGAGGGGTTTTTCGGCAGCACACCGCCGGGTAGCTCGCTATTTTTGTGTTCTCAGGTCAGTCGGAGGGAAGCACAGCTTGGACACGAGGAGTGAGGATAGCATCGGATATTTGGCTCCCGTACAATATTCATCATTTTTTGATTTGTTATACACCCAATGATGTTGACTCCAATTCTATTACCATATCATTTTGGGTGAATTTATGAGTCTTTAACATTTTTTCAAATTTATAAAAAAAACAAAATTATGGTGTGTAACTTTTCTCAACAAATAAATATAAAACAAATACTATGATAATTCTTTATATATAAAAAATAAAAAAAAAACTTACTAAGATAAGTCACTGAATTAATAAAGAAGTAGAAGAAAATACATATATATATATATATATATAAATGACTAATTTTATTAATACATAAATCATATTCGCATAACAAATGATCAATTTTATTCATAAGTAAATCATTAAGTAAATTAGTAATTTTTAATGATATAAAAAATATTTTTCAGTTAATCATTTTGTTAATAAATAAATCATTAAGTCAATTAATAATTTTTTCATGATATGCGAAATATTTTTTAATTAACAATTTTGATAATTTATTATTGCTTAGGAAAATAGTTTTTTTTTTCCTTGAGTATTGTGCTAAATTAAAATTTATAACAAACAATAGTTGTAATTTCTAGTATTGTAGGATCGATTCATATTTTAAACAAACTTTATGGGTGTATTTGTAATTTGTTAAAAAATAAAATATTTATGTTTTATAATTGACTAAGAATAATTACATAATTTCGAAAAACTCTATTTCATAATTGACCAAGAATGTATACGTAATTACAAAAAAACATGTTGTATAATTGACCAATAATGTTTGCATAATTATGAAAAAACCTGTACTTAACATATAGGTCACCATTAGTAAATCATTAGTAAATTATTCAAAATGAAAGGACAAAAAAAAAAATATGAGCCATTAGCAAGAAAGAGCTTCTTATATATATAGATATATATATAGACACTATATATAACACCAATTTGTTTGAGGAAGATGATAGAATCAGTTGAATCAATTGACGAATCTAAACAATTATATATTCAAATCAAGGAGGTTTTTTTTTAATATTCCAAAATATCAAATTATTTATCAAAGTAACTCACTTTTCAAACTACTTATCAAACTTACTTTTTTAAAAGTATATGTTCAAAATGTGACTTCATCATGAAATCACATCTTCATATTAATATGACTTACTGGTGTGTAGATGTGGGTCATGTCAATATAAAATTATATGTTCAAGACGCGATTTCACCATGAAATTGTATTTTGAACCCGCAATTTAAAAAAGTGAGTTAGTTTGATAAATAATTTGAAATGTTGGCTATTTACCTAAATAGTTTAATTTTTTAGAATATTCACAAAAAAAAAAAAACTCCAAAATCAAGAGCAACTATATACAAAATAGGTGTTCTTCATAGGTTTTAAAGAACCATTAGTAGGGAAATGTGGCAACAATGGTGGTCCTTGAGGGGATATAAGTTGGCGATCCAAATCTGAGAAGGAGAAAAGGTAGCGATCTAGATCTGAGAGGGAAGAAGAAGCGATGATGAGAGGAGGGGAAGAGATAAAAGGTTTTGACAGGTTGTTGGGAAGAATGATGGGGCAGCCGGGTGGGACAAATGGTGGTGAGAGGAGGAGGAGGAGGAGGGTTAGAATTAGGGTTAGGGTTTGAGTTTTATGTTTATTGGAGAAGAAGATGAAGGTGAATGGTATGTTTGCCTTTTAATATTGAATTTTGACTTTGACTTCTAATTTTTTTCATTGTCAACACTCAATTTTACTAAGTATGGAACGCTCTTATCTAAAACTCTCCGTTATTTTAGATGAAATTAATAACGACAAGGAGGCAAAATATAAAATGATCAAAATAACAAAAGAGTTGTTTGCCAATTTTTGAACTATATAGA